TCTCAGAAAAGATCCCTGTGCCCAGATATTTTGGTTCTGTTGCTCTCCTTCTGGAGCTCCTGACCCCTCCAGGTGTTTCATAAGATTCCCTGCACTCTGTCCAAAGTTTGGCTATGACTCTCAGCATCTGCTTTGATACCCTGCAAGGTAGAGTCTTTCAGAGGCCCTCGGTATTAGGCTCTTGTCCTGTTCCTCATTTTCTCTTTCTTCTGATGTCTGTCCAGTTTGCCTTTCTGAGTGAGGATTGGTTATCTTACCCAGGGTCCTCCCTCTTGATTAGTTTCTTTAGGTGTACAGATTTTAGTATGTTTATCCTGTATTATATGTCTAATATCCACTTAGAAGTGAGTATATACCATGTGTGTCTTTCTGCTTCTGGGATACCTCACTCATTGGCACAGGAGACAACTTCCTGAACAGAAAACCAATAACACAGGCTCTAAGATCAATAATCACTAAATGTTACCTCATGAAACTGAAAGGATACTGTCATCAGAACAAAACAACAGCCTCCAGATTGGGAAAGGATCTTCACCAACCCTTTATCTGACAGACCCCTAATATCCAGAATATATAAAGAACTCAAGAAGTTAAAAAGCAACAAATCAAGTAATCCAATTAAAAATTGGATACAGAGCTAGACAGAGAATTCTCTGTAGAGGAATATCGAATGGCAGAGAAACACTTAAAGAAATGCTCAAAGTCCTTAGTCATCAGGAATATTCAAATCAAAATGACCCTGAAATTTCACCTTACCTTTCAGAATGGCTAAGATAAAAAACTCAAGTGACAATACATGCTGGAGAAGATGTGGAGAAAGAGGAACCCTACTCCACTGCTGGTGGGAATATAAACTTGTACAACCACTTTGGGAATCAACCTGGTACTTTCTCAGACTATTAGGAATAGTGCTTCCTCAAGACCCAGATATACCACTCCTAGGCATATAGCCAAAATATGCTCAAGTACACAACAAGGTCATTTGCTCAGCCATGTTCATAGCAGCTTTATTTGTAATAGCCAGAACCTGGAAACAACCCAGATGCCCCTCAAAGGAGGTATGGATAAAGAATTTGTGGTACATTTACACAATGAAATACTACTCAGCAATTTTTTTAATCATGAAAGGAAATTATGAAATTTGCAGGCAAATGGTGGGAACTAGAAAATATCTTCCTTCTTCTTTTAAGAGGAGCCTACAGGTGACTTACAGACTCAGTGTAATTTTTGTAATCTTTTGCATGGTCATTTCGGTTGTTTAATTAGTTCTTTCATACCTTGGGTTAAGTAAATGTTTGTTGACCACTTACAACTCTGAATACTTTCTTTCAGCTTCTAGTCCATAGGTTGTAGTTTTGCAGGGCCAACAGCACAGCTGTAGGTTTTAATTTAAAGGTGATTTTCATCCCAATCAAAGCAACTAACCTAACCAATCAACCAAGAAGACCTATGTATCCCAAGTACTGGTTCCACCAGCCTTCAGAGCTTCTGATCATCAGATGTACCTCCTAGTTTTGAAAGGAGCTTGTGAGGTCATTTGGTACTGATCTTCATATATTAGTCAGGCAGGTTGGATTATGTGGTAGTAAAAGTTTCCTCTGGAATTTTTTTTCAGTTTAACATGATGGAAGATCTTTTTAAAGCATTTTTAAATGCGAAAACACCGTGATGCAGGGATCCATCTGCTTCCACGCAATGATCAAACATCTCAGTGTGCACATTTAGCTTGTTACGGCGTGAGGTGACAGACAGAGACACCTCCTTACATTACCAATTACAGAATTCTGCAAGGGGGCAAAACTTGGATATGGGAGTTGAGACACATGGATATTTGGTGGGCCATGAACATATTCAGTATTCAAATTCCTCAAATCCTCATTCTGCAAGAATAGAGAAACAACCTAGAAAACTTGATTGGTAGGATTTATAAACAAATGGACCAATACATTTCTTGAGTCTTTATCTGGCAATAATTTTGAAATGAAAGGACAATAGCACATTTTCTTACTGCACTAGGGAAATTTACTATTGACTTTGGTGTATATCCATAATTCTTGGCTCTCCCTCCCATCCCCACATAGGTCAATCTCATGGTGTTTATTTTTAGGTAACAAGATCTGTTTTCTTCTTGATACCTTAATAAGGGAAAGATTCTAGATTGCAGGATAAATGGACAGACAGCTTTACTGTCTACAGAACTTTGAGTGGCAGCATTTTCCAGAATAACATTTGCGCTTTCTAAAATATTTTTCTTATTGGATAGAAAGCATCATCATTACTCCCTGCTACACATACTCTGTGCATGTTTCTGCCATGGGAGCTTTATTAAATTGTGTGTGGCATGCAACTTATTTCTAATTCAGTACAAAGTCCTATTACCCACTAAGTGTGCCCTGATTTTGTCCTTGCTTGCTTAGGCACATTTTCCAATAAACAATGACACTGTAATTAGCACTAGGCCCATGAAGGAAGTATGTTAAAATATGATAATTTATTCCATTTGCTAATATAAACTTATTTCTCAGTAACATATTCCCAATCCATATGGATTTGATTATTCTTAAATCTTCACTTCTTTAATGATGGTTCCTTCATTATATTATAAACCATCTGATTATAATTCAGGGCCATGAACTCTTGATTTTTGCTTCCTGCATTTGTAGTTGATAGCACTTGAAATGCCAATGGCTTCATTATGAAGTCTAAGGCACTATTACTCCTTTAAATTGGAAAATACTTTTATCTAGCTAGCTTTCCTACATACTAATAATAATCAGACTACAAAAGAAATCAGAGGAGCAAAACCATTCACAATGGTCACATATACCATGGCATACACACACACACACACACACACACACACACACACACACACACACACAGAGGCACACATCCACAGAATAAAAGAAAAAAAAAACTCCAATCAACTGTCCTTTCAAACAAACACAAACAAAAGTCCCTCCTCAAGCCTACCCACCCCAAGGAATAAACTTAACCAAGGGAAAGTAATGCTTGTACAATGGTAATTTTAAGACACTGAAGAAAGAAATTAGAGACTAAAAGATAGAAAGACTTCCCATATTCATAAATGGAAAGAATTAATACTGTGGATATGACCATCCTTCCAAGAGCAATCTAGAGATTAAATAAAAATCCCAGGGCCATATTTTAGAGACATAGGAAAAACAAGAGCCCCCAAATTTACATGGAGCCATCAAAAACAAGGACAGCCCCAAAGTAAAAGAACACTGTGGGTATTCAGATTATACTACAGAGCCATAATAAAAAACAAACAAACAAACAAACAAACAAACAAACAACCATTCCCCAAACCCAGCGTGGCACCAGTATAGAAACAGATATATGGTTCAGTAGAAGAGTTGAGGACTTAGTTATAAGTCCACACAATTAGTTACCTGACTTTTGAGAAAGGTACACACGTTTATTAAAAAAAAAAAATAACAACTTTTAAAAATATTGCTGTAGAAACTGGATATTAGCATGCAGAAAAATTAAGCTAGAACCGTATCTCTCACCACGTGCAAAACTCAATTGGAAATAGGATGCAACAGATTCGGGTGTGGCTGTGGCAGAGGGGGGCTCCTACACACCGTTAGCGGGAGTGTGAACCAATGTGGGTACTTTGGGGATCACGCTGGAGGTTCTCAAAAAACTAGAAATAGACCTCTACCACTGTGTCACCTATGCCATTCCAGGGCATGCACCCAGGGAGGTTATATCCCACTGTAAAGATACTTGTACGCCCATGTCTATTGTTGTACATTGATGTACTTGAACATGGATGTTCATTCCATTTCCGAGCTGTTATGAATAACTCGGAAATGGAATCAATCTAGACGTGTACCACAGGTGGATAAGAAAAATGTGCTGTATATGCATAGTAGAATACTACTCAGCTAACGAAAACAGAAATCATGACATTTGCAGGTGAATAGATGGAACTAGAAAAATTATACTGAGTTATATAGCTCAGGCCCAGAACATCACATGTCTTATGTAGAGCCTAGCTTCAAATCATTTATGCTTAACTTGAAATACAAGTGGAAGCCAGGAAACAAGAAAAGTGCCTCTTGGGGAGCTTATTAAGGGGAGAAGGTAGCAGGTTTTAGGTAAAAAAATGAAAGTAGTGAGCTAGAATATTCAGGGTGAAAAGGCTTAAGTGGGGGTATGGGGAGGATCGTGGGGTGATGGGGAGGGATAACTCGAAGAACTGGGTATGAAAAGCCATATAGATGCTTACTGTCTCACACCCAATCTTATAAAGTGTCAGTGGAGGGACATAACACATATGAAAAGAGGGGGAATGTGAGAGAGGGAATAGCGAGTAGTTAATTAGAGCGTCTATGAAAAACGTCATATGGAAACTAGCTAGAAATCTAGTTGCAAAATACAACTTAAAACATGTTTGAGAGGATTCCAAAACAAGTTGGGCTATTTCCATTGCCCTTGGTTACCCACAATAACTCCATGATAAGATTCTGTTTCTGAAGATATAACCTATTTTGGATGCAGGACACAGAGAAATCAATTTCAGACCAACCAGGAAATGTCCTCCCTGCTGGCTCACTTACAGATTGCCAAAAGATAGTATGCACACTTCTCTGAAGAGAAAAGGCACCAATGTTCTTACCCAGTGTTGGACCCTGCATCCTGCAATACTGACCTGACAGCCAAGGTGCATCTATTGATGCAACAGTGGCTTGCTTGTGATGGAATAACTGATTAGTTTCTGATTGGATTTGAGTTCCAATGGAAGAGATCCTGGTCAAAAGCCCATGACTGGCCAAGTCCTAGGCCCTAGGGTAGAAATCTGTTATTGAAACCTGGACGATCATATTGCTAAATCAGGCTCAAGTTCTGCTATAAATATCACTCCTTGACTCATGTGCTTTTTCTCTTCTTTAAGATTCCAAAAAGGCCAAGACCATTCCCCAAATCTGGAAAGTGAGCAAGGATTGAGAACAACAACAATATTTCTTTTATTCAAATTTTATTGGAAGTTTACAAATGTATTACAGAATCAGTAAAACATCATATTCACTTTACAGGGCACGGATCTCAAGCAAAGTGTTCAGAACAGTCTCTGGCAGAGCCCACGCCAAAGGCCCGTGACAGGCCTTCCTAACGAACAGCTTGACACTTGACAGATAACACAGACTCCAGCCTGCTTCACCTTCTCGGGCCCTCTGAGGTTTTGTTTATGCATATGGAATTAAATAGGATCCGGGCAAAGAAACTCTGTGCAGGAAGGAACTTTAGGAGAATAAATGCTGGCCTACTTTGCTGAAGAATACAGAAGAGTCATGGGTCTTACTTTGTTAACTCGGGGTCAGGATTAAACCAGAATACTTTATTGAAAACTATGGAAACCAACTTGATAAACTCAAGAGAAGGTCTTATTGGCAACCTTGTTGGTAACCTCCCAAAATTTAGAAACGTTTGATAGGTGACCTGTTGAACGAGCATGGCTAAATGCCCAGACCACGAAGGTTTTCTTAGAAAATGCTCAAGTTAGACTAGACATCTATCTTGTGAGTTCATCACATTTGAACCACAGAAATGTCTGCTAATAGCACATGACCTTTCCAGCCTCCTTTTTGATTCCTCCAAGGGAGGCTGGTCCTGGAAGAGGGGAATGCATTTATATAACAGCATTAGCTTCCAATAGTCATGCTCTATAGGGGACCTTGTGCTGATTGGGCTCCTAATAGGAGAAAACAGAAAAAGAAACCAATCCTTCCTCCATCCTGATCTCCACAGCTTCTGGATGGTCATACAGACATACTCTGGGGCAAACCACTGAGGAGAAGGCAAAGGTTTCATTCCTGTTTCCCTTATGCTCAAAGAAATGTGCTTTGCAACTGCCTGAAGATCACTAGTGGAAGTTTGCAGAACTTAATCTGCAGAGCTTGAAGATGCCACATAGGTGCCAGTAATAACTCTGCTTGCATGTGACATTCAGGCCACTGGTTCAGTTTTCCACTTTCCTTGCTCATAGGTGGATCTTTGTGAAGCACAGCATCTGGTCTCTGTTAGGAGTAGGCAAGAACACTCCTGTTTGGAATTTAAGTGTCCTGCGTCCCTATAAGGTGAATGAGAAAGCAGAGAGACTCTTATCTGACCTCTTCAGAGTGAGCAGGAGCTGCCCACATAACTGGTAAAGACCCTGAGCATGAAAAAGTAGGCCAGAGAAAGCCTTGTTTGGCCTAAGAGGTCAGCTTCCACAATGTGGAAGGGAGAGGAAATGAAGTCTCCCAATTCTTCCTGATTGATGCTTCCTAAACGGCTGGGGAACTGCTTCCTTCTCAGGGACCCAGGTTAAGAACCAGCTCATGAATGAGATTTGTTCTAAGACGGAGAAGACCAGCTCTGGTCACCTAGCCCTGTTGCTGGAGTTTTGTAAAGATGCCTGGACGGGAGCCCACTTTCCTTGGAAAGTCTGCAGTAGTCCATTGCTATCACCCACTAAAATGGCAGGGAGAGCACAGCAACTGTGACATTCTTGCCACCACTGGTCCCGCCTGAATGCAAAGTGGCTAATAGGTCATAAGAAGCAGAGACTTCCAGAAAAGGAGCAGAGAAGGCCATCTTGCTACGTCTCTGTAGGAAGAGCATTCTATAGGAAAGAGATTGTGATTCTCCAATGAGAAAAATCCAAAACTGTTCATGCAGCTGCTTGGACAGTTAATGAAGGATTACAGAATGTGGAAAGAGGGTTTCAAACAACCAACACCAGCAATTCTCCTTTACGCATGTTTAAAAACAGGAAATGAGGCCTGATTTTCCTCACCTCATTCACCTTCACGCATGGTAGAGAATCTGGGACTATACAGGACAGGAGGGCGGGCCTCTGAATGCCACACTCAAAGCTACCGGGTCAGCATGGACCCTTTTTCACAGTACCAAAGGTGAGGTGCACTAGCAAGACCTCTAAGGAAACTTTCAATGGCTTTTGCACTCCTTGGACTGGAGAAAGAGAGCTGGCTTAGCTGGTGCTGGATCTGGCAGCAGTATGAGATGAATAACTGCAGAGCTGTAGTTCTAAGCAAAAGTCAGTCCAATAATAGAAGAGATGGGAAAAAAATGTCAATCAAATCATCAGAGAGGAGAAAAGTGGGGAAAGATGGTTCTTCTGAAAACCAGTCTACAGAAGATAAAACAACAATCCAAGGGAACTGAGTATAGGCCCCACTCGCCAGGGAAACTTGGCCAATAGAGGTGAGGGGTACAATGGAAGAGGTCAGGGAGGACCTTAAACTCTCACCTCAGAAAAGAATGCACTGGAATTTTGAGAATGGGATTCTGGGTGTTATCTAGTAGTTATTACTTCAAGGTAGTGAAATTCTAGTCCAGTGACATGCTGCTCATTCCTGAGCAGTCACTTGAAGGACTTCCTACCATTTTGAGGAACTGGCCTTCCTCAAAAGATATTCTTGCCAGGGCACCTGGCCGCCTGTAGAACAGGAAGAAATCTCTGGCGGTTAAACAGGAAGAGGTGATCTTGATGCGGGACAGTTTTACCCAGAAGCCTATACCTCATTATATGTTAAGTTTTGGTCAGAAGGATCTTGAATGCTCTTTGGACAGCTAGAAACATTAAGCAGTTTCTACACTGCTGCTTCTTTGGGCTGAGGGTTGTTCAAACCATATCTGGGAAATGTAAGAGGTACTCCGCTGAGGACAGAGTAAGAAAACAAGTTGCAACAGGAGAATTTCTTTCACTGGATTTGGGGCCAGAGAGGACACATGGTTTCCACCATTTGCTAAGTGGTCTACTTTCTCTCTCTTTTCTTTTTCCCAATAATGCCAATAATTCTCATCAATCAACAAACTCAAAGCTCCAAATTGGACTCACCCAATGTCTACCAGAAACCTGCCACTATAGTGGCACGGTGCTGCATTATTTATCTCTTAAACAGTTTGCCAAGCAGTTTATTAACTTACTATACAAACGTAATAGAGTTAATTCTCCAGAGGCTTGGATAATTAATGAAACATTTAGATATGAAGATAGCATGCGGAAAACAGCCACAATCAACATTTGCATTGTTTGTTTTTTAAATCAGTGACAATGACAAATGTCATATTAATACCTAAAAAGCAAATCATTTTAATACATCCTGAATAGAGTGTCATCATCACATCCTTTATAGTCTTCCTTTCCCCAGACACATTTAGGATGGTGTCTGAAAAGCCACTTTTCACATTCTCTCCATCGAAGAAACACACAAAAAAAACAAACCCCTAGAAAATGTTAAGTACTATACTGTAAGGAGACCATGCTCGCCTTATTGTGGCAAATGGCCACTGAGACACACTGTGCATTACAGGGACAGTACCTCTCACAAAAGTGGGTCCTCTGATGGATTTTCTTTTTTTTTTTTTTTTTGCGCCATGATCCACTGAGGAGAGGAAGAGAATGGACCAAGAGCAAGCGCTTCATATTTCACTCGCTGTGAAATGTCTTCTTTAAGCAAACTCACTCTTGAGCCTTTCTGTCTGACCAACGGGTCCTCAAGGTTCAAAATGTAAATCTCTTTTGCCACAAGGTCTGTTTTTCCATGTTGTCACCCTACCATCTCAGCAGCTTGACCCTCCTGGGTTAAGAAGCCAGCCCCTGTGGCGACAAAGCTTGTCAAACTGGACTCTCTCTAAAGCACTGCGGACCAGTCGAGGTGGCTGTCACCTCTCTTCTCTCTCTCTATGTTCTTTCTCCCTGACTTCCCGGCATATTCCCCCACCCCCTTTCAATGACTGCCAGAGTTTTGTTTCTATCTTTCCTTGTTCTCTACCCATGTGAAACACAGGTGCCACATCACTGCACCCAGAGGTCCCCCCTCCCCAACCTCTTTCTGTCCTTCAGTGCTAAACGCTCATTTTGCTATGAGGACAAACAGTTGTCAGGCTAAGGCAGCGGCTCTGTCTGCCTTGGAAGAAGAAAGCAGAAAATACAATCCAGGAAACATGAGCACCAAACAATTCCACATTCAAGACAACGCCATGCTGACAGCACACCTCGGCACCACTCACAGTCACTTTGAATCCCCCCAAGGGACAGATCGACATTAAGCAACTTCAAGGTTCCAGACAAGGGTGGCATTTTTCACAGAACTGGGCTGACACTGGTTGTTACCGCTAATCAGCAAAAGCGACATTTGCAATTAAAAAAACAAAAGCAAAAACAAAAACAACCTACTTACTTTGTAGAGGATAAATTCTACTGAGGGCGGGAGCGGACTTAAAAATGGCTCCTTTAGGTGGAACAGAGCATAAAAAACGCTTTGGGTAGAATAGTTAAAATTTTTCTTTTTCAGCCACAAAAAGCCAAATTGAATATACTCCTTTGAAAATAGTCTCACTGACATGTAACAGATTTGTAGAGAAAGGGAAAAAAAAAAAACAACCCAAAACAAACAACAAAAACAGGTGGTCCTGGGCCACCGTTTACTACCACTCAATGATGGTGGACATGCATGCAAGTCCCCACTGAATCCTACGATATAGAAATTCTGTTGTTATTACAAAATACAAAAATATTTTATCAGAACTCTCATTTACATTGCATTTACAATGGACATGTAAATAACTTAGTCTGGGGTCCTGGCTAATAAAGTATTTACTGGAAAAGGGGTCCTAAAAGGAAGAGAACCAGAAAGAATATAAGTGAGCAGGTTACAACGTGTCATCTGGTAAATGGCCACTCTACCTTGGAAGGACATGGCCTACCCTGGCCTCCACAGCCTGTGTTTTCAAAGTGAAATGTGCAAATCATATTTAACATGCCCCAAACTGTGACACCGAGTGTATCTACCAAGTCAACCTGCAGGCTTGCCTCCCTCTACTGAGAGCACTCTCCATCTCTCCCCCACAAACCATCCCCAAGAGCACTTGAGAATTCGACAGTGCACGTTTCTGAGTTTACATTCTTAGCTCCCATCTTCCCCTGTTCCCTGACCACAATCACATTATGAAATGATACAGTTTTTGCTCTTTTGTCTTTTCCTGCTGTGCAACTGTCCTCTACCGCTTAAGGTGGAGGATTTGGGGACACCGTACGAGCTGTACTTGTGCAGGAGCTCATCACTTGTGACGTATCGGAGGCGGGCCGGCTGGGGGATGGGCTCTCCTAGGAAGTAACCCTCGTTGTCAGACTCTGAAGAGGAGGAGCAGGTGGAGCACCAATCATACTCCGTGAAGTAGGGTCCCCATCGTTCCCCAAAGGCATTCTGCAAAGCCAGGTCTGACACAGTCCTGGGACACTGGCTGTACAGATCCCGCCGGGATCCCTGCCCCAGGCTCTCCTGGAAGCTCCGTTGACGCATGAACTGGTCATAGTCCTCCCTGGCTCTCAGAGGGGGCCTTTCCTTCAACCGAGCGATGACCTCCCGCTCGCTGGCTAGGTGCAGGGCGTTGTCTGAGCGCGAGCGTCGGGACCTTCTGGACCTGTGAGGGCGGAAGCGGCGGTTGTCATCCCTGGAAGTAGTTCTCCTCCGGGTGCGCTCGCTCATAGGCTGGATGCGCACGGCCTCCTGGCCTGGCAGCTTGCTGCTCGCTATGCCACCATCGAAATCAAAGCTCTGGTGCATCCTTCCATGGGACTGCAGGTCCCTGTACCCCAGGGGGTTGCCGAGCTGGTGAAGGTTTCCCTCCATCTCCTGGTACTGTTGTGCAGACAGCAGGCTGCGGACAGACTCTGCACTCCTGAATTGCATGGAGGAGTTCAGAGTGCCCATGTTGCTCAGCTTCTCCGAGACATTCATTCCAGAGTCTTTGCTGAGGTCAGGCATGGAAAACCGGGATAGGTGCTCCTGGCGCTTGGCACCACCTTCAGCAGACAAGCCTGGGGGAGGGGATAGGAGAGAACAGTAGTTAATACAAATGTACAGCACTGCGGTGGGCTGGAGGTGTCACCATTACTTTCAGTCTGGGGTCTCTTCGGGTGCAATATGCCTGTGCAATACACAAAGGCTCTCATGATGTCTTCGTGGCATGGGGTTCTCTACACAGAGAAGGTATAGTAGGCTTCAAACCATCAGCAGACTGTGCCTTCCTAATTTCTAATTTCTCCAAAGGCTTACCAGTTACTAAGAGTTCACTAAGCATCCTATGTACCTGTACTCTATTTAGAAGTTTACATCACCAAATACTTCCATTGCATCTTCAATTCTAACCATGCTTGATAATCTTTGTAGGACAGATGATAGCTATTTAGCCAGAGACTGACCAGGCCTAAGCTGTTCCTTACCAAAGTAAGCCTAGAATCTAATTGTACAATACTGGACTAGTTTAATACTTTGCTGGCCTGAAGCAGCTTTGTGCTTGGCCTGTTTCCCTAAGTGGCAGGTAGCTGTCCATCGCAAATGACTTGGACACTAAGCGGCTCCCTAGGTGGAGAAAAAGAGACATTTATTCTCTTGGCTTGCTCACTGACTGACTGCTCTAGGATTATAAATGACTCTGTAGCAGCCAGAAGATGTGAATTGTGGCTTAGACATTACTCTATCCCCCAGGGAGGTGCCTTTAAAGATAAAGCAGTGACCTTAATCACTACCTAAGAGCTGGTACCCCAGGAATGGGTCTCCATTCCTGAAGTGCTTTCACAATGTCATGGCTGAGAAAGAGACAGACCATTTTGAAGACAGCTGAGATGTGTACTTTGGGATTTTGCTTTTGCATACTTAAAACAGTGCTCTATGGCAATGCTTCTCATCACAATGGAAAGGTTTGGTTATTTTGTCATTTCTGGCCATTGACTGCAATAAGCCATCATTACCCCTGCCACTGATTATCTTGGCCTCCCAGTGAGATCCCAGATGTCCTCTCCCTGACAGACCTAAATCAGTGTCGTTACTGGCAATATCTAAGGCTAAGTACCCATATGTAAATATACATGAATTATGAATAAAACCATTTTGTTGATGCATGCTACTGTGCATGAAAACCCTAAGTGGAGAGGCCTCAATTTTCCACTGCCATTTCCATTCCATTCCTGGTTATATACTCAATCTAAATTAGTAAATACCTTCCAAAAATATACAGACATATTCAGACAGTGGAGCTTCCTTATAGCAGCCTGGAAATAATTTAAGTGCCAACCAATGCAAAAATGGATAACATCACTGTGATTCTGGTCGCCATTACTGACTAAAAGTTACTTGGGCTTGATGGAGAAATGGGTCTCATGACAGAGTAGAAAAAGCAAAAAGATGAGTCTAGAACATCTTGTAAAAAAAAAAAAAAAGGAAATGTTAAAAATAAAATTTGTGATAGCCAAACTTTGGGCAGAGTGCAGGGAATCTTATGAAAGAAGGGGGAGATAGAAAGACCTAGAGGGAACAGGAACTCCACAAGGAGAGCAACAGAACCAAAAAATTTGGGCCCAGGGGTCTTTTCTGAGATTGATACGCCAACCAAGGACCATGCATGGAGATAACCTAGAACCCCTGCACAGATGTAGCCCATGGCAGCTCAGTCTCCAAGTGGTTTCCCTAGTAAGGGGAACAAAGGTTGTCTCTGATATGAACTCAGTGGCTGGATCTTTGATCACCTCCCCTTGGGTGGGGGGAAGACAATGCAGCCAGTCCTAATGATACCTGATAGGCTAGGGTCAGATGGAAGGGGAGGAGAACCTCCCTAATCAGTGGACCTGGGGAGGGGCATGGGAGGAAAAGAGGGAAGGAGAGCGGGATTGGGAGGGGACAAGGAAAGGGACTACAGCTGGGGTACAAAATAAATAAATTGTAATAAATAAAAAATAATAAAATGTGATGAAAGTTTGTTAGAAGGCCACATTCCCACTTGAAAGAGGTTCCCAATGGCACATTCTGGACAGTTTGAGCATTAAAATACTTCTAAAAAGCAGTTATTTGTAAACCATTGAAACAAATAGGAATTCATAATTTCATACTGATAACAGACAAGAAAAACATCAACATGTCAGTAAATAGAGATCTGAGTGGGGTTCTTGTGCTGCTCACTGTCAGGGGACTGAGTGCACAGAGAGGGAAAGCTAGCTAGCCAGATTTGGAAAATCATTTTGCAACCATCGGTATTTAAAAGTACTTAACACAAGAGCCGAAAGTGACCACATTTAGGGACAAAACACCTGATAGGAGAGTACAGTAACATCTGAGCCTTTGGCAAACATTTGCATGAGTCATGAAGAATATTCTCTCAGCCTGTGTTTGGTTTTATCTTCTATACTGTTTAGAAGAAGGTTGTCCTTGTATTTCTTAATATGGTCTGCTTCATCTCTTTTCTTTCTGAATGCACCATCTTGCTTCTTTTTTTTTATTGATTTTTTTTTTCATACAGTATGTTCTGGTGACACTTCTCCCCTCCCCCAACTCTTCCCCTACTTCTCCATCCACCCAGCTCCAAACCCTTTCTTTTTAAAAAAAACAAGCAGAGAAAAAAAAAAATCAGCCAACCAACCAAATTAATAAAAATCTCAAGACTCTCAAAATCTCAATCTTTCTCCTCCTCCTCCCTGGCCTCCCTTCTCTATCTCTCTTAGCCACAAACCTGAAACCCAAATATACAAGCAAAAGGCCAATAAGACAAAAAAAAATTGCAGAAACAAAAACTATTTGAAACAAAAAGTCTAAAAAGTACCATTTAGCTTGCTTTGTGCCAGGCATCTATTGTTGGGCAGGATGGAAGCTGGTCTGAACATGTTTCCCTACCTGGTGCTTATGAGTTATAACAGAACTCGCAGCTCTACAATAGTGAAATCCAGCAACACTCTGGCTTGAGATCACCCGTGAAAGAACTAAATACTGTGTGCCTCCAGAGTCCTAAGGGCCCACTGTAACCTTATGAAGTATTTCAGCCAAGAAGAAAATGCAAGTCATCGGTGCATTCAGAAAGAAACTTGAGATGAAGGACGCCATATTAAGAAAAGCAAGGCTAACATTCTTGAGGGGAAAATATGGTATAGAAGACGAAACCAAACACAGGCTGAGAGAGTATTCCACACGGCTCACTTAAACATTTACCAAAGGCTCATGTGTTAAAGGCATAGTTCCCAGCTTGATGCTATCAGAAAGGTCATAGACACTGTGAGGGGTGGGTACAGGAGAAGTGAGTCAATCACTGGGGACATACCCTAGCAGGAGATACTGGGACCCTCAGCCCTCCTTTGACCCCTTCCTTCTCTGCCTCCAAGAGGAAAGCTGCTTGTTACAGCATATGCCTGCTACGGTTGCTGCCATGGGACCAAATGATCACAGATGGAAACTTCTGAAACTGTGAGCTGAAATCAATCTTTCTTCCTTATAACTGCTTTTGGCCTTTTGGCACATGATAGAAAGCTAATTAACATAGGTGTGAGGAAAACATGGGAATCATATACAATACTTGACCCTGATCTGAACCCATTTCTGTAGGAAAACAAAAGCAAAAACAAATGCTCAAGGAAAGGTGTTAGTCCCTTAAAAACTTTGAACACAGGCCAAAAAAAATATTTTGCCATATTTAAGGTGGTTATTTGATAGTGGCAATACTGTTGGAAAAGCCCTTATTCTTAGAAACTATATACAAGAACATGCAGATAAATAGCTATGGTTATGTTCTGATAGTTCTGATCCCCCTCATAAATATAAAAGGAGACAGAAAAGTGTTAGCAAGAGATGAATTCCATTAAAAAGTATATTGTAGATAGTGTTTCTTCTATTTTTGTAGCACTGTGTATGTTGAATGACCCCATTTATGTCAAGTTCAAGGATAAGCTAAGGCTGTTTATGGTGAAGGAAGCTAAGAGAAGGAAGTATGGAGGAAGCCTCCCTTGCACTAGGGTTGTTGGATAAGTAGACCTGGATGGAGTGTATAAGCAGATCTACAGGTGCAAATATTCAGCTGGTGTGGTTTGAATATATGTTCGCTTCATTTTATGTAAATCCTGCCTCAATAAAGCAGTATAAACATCAGGGAATCCTCATGAAAAGTCAAATTTTAATGCTGGAAATGCCTACAGGGAAATACAGAGGTCTCTATATCAGCAAGGGATGGTCTGCAGAACCCCCTTATATGGCACAGTCTATGGGTGCTTAAGTTTCTATGTAATAAAATGTAGGATATACTTTAAAATACCTCTACATCACATACAATCCTGAACACAATGTAAATTCAATGTAATCGGTCCCTACTTTGTAGGGACCAGGCAAAAAGGCTGTCTATGCTTCCCTCCAGGTGCAGCCATTAGGCCTAACTGAATTTCCCACTGGCAGCTGGCTGAACCCATAGGTGTGGAACCCCCAGGCAGTACCAACTGTGTTCCATATCTTACTCTCCCAGTATTTAAAAAAATGATTTAATTTCATGTAACTGTCAGTGCAAGAGGAGCTGGGCTCCAGTCCCCGGCTTTCTTGCTGCTTCTCTCTAGTAAATAAATCCCCAAAAGTGACCTACAACCATTTAGTCACTCTCAGAGCCTTGTCTCGCTGAAGATGGAGATGGGACCCTGACATGCTAAGATGATGGATGAGCTCTCTGAGCAGACGCAGATGACTCTCCCAAGGAAGAAAAGAGAATCTTCCAAAAGTTACCCAGCAGGCACCATTATCTTCGCAGGACTTTCTCCCTAAGTTATTTAGTGGAATGAAGGTCAGCTTCAACAACCTAGAAAATTCCATAAATTCTCTTGAAGGCATTTCCCCAGCCAGTCTGGCAATAAAACATTTCTAAGATGCATGCGGACAAGTTGCTAGTTCCCTGCTGAGGTAAAAGTGAGAAAGGCTGCTTTTACTCTTCTTTAGTGGAAACGGGGAAGGTGAGCCCCTTGGCTTTCACTTCTTCAAGTGTCCAAGGTTCCTGCAACACTGTGCCCATGAGAAGAAATGT